GCTGATAACAGGCACATTGTCTGTCCCCCAAATGAACATAAAGCAGCAGTGGAATGATAATGAAAGGGGAAAACCAAAGGACTTGAACCAAGACCTGTCCCAGGGCCAATATGTCCACCACAAATCCCACATAAACTGCCCCAGGAGCATCCACAGTGAGAAGTTGGCCACTAACTGGTACAGCATAGTTCCAGTTCAAATATAAGAAAAGAATTAAGAAGTGATCAGTTACGTATATTTTAGCACAGGGCAGCAAGGTTACACTGAAATGCAGTACCTCAAACCACACCTCTAATATCCGTTCAGATAACATCATATCACACAGGTTTGTTGACAATGTGGTGATCAGCCCTAACGATGGAGGTAGAAAGCACCTCTGAAATATTGGTAAATTTCTACCAGACTGTGCCCCGCACTGTAGCCGCGCGGCCTGAGGCATCATGCTTCGGGCCGGCGATACAGAATGCGTGTTGGTTTGAGTCTCGGGGAAAGAAATTTTTCATGAGTTTTCGACCAGTGTGTGGGACTGGTGCCAACCCAGCATCGTGAGGAAATTGGGGAGCTACAATGAGTAGCGTAATCCGGTCAGGAAAGCTAGCAATGGCTGGGGGTTCGTCGTGCTGACCACACGTCACCCTATATCTGGTTGGATGATCGTTCACCTCTGCTTAGGCATGTGAACGTGAGGCCAGCAGCCAGCTAGTCGGCTTTGGCTCTCAGAGGGCTGTTACACCACGGATTTGATTTCTACCAGACTGCACGGTAGTATATCCCAGAAGACAGTCATCTTCAGAAAGGAGATAATTCAGAAAATGTAAACACTTACTTTGATTGAATTGCCCAGTCACGGCCAAGGCTGTAGGATTTACTGCAGTACCCATTGTTGGTTGTGTCAGCTGGGCAATGAGGGCACTTTGGTTTGGAAACTGGCGTGACTGCTGCTGAGGTTGCATCATGGGCAGAGGCCACCTTGGGGGACGATTCTGCACCATTATACCTTGGGAAGAATAGGACTGTGGAGGTTGTTGGGGAAATAATATGGTGTTTCTGGGGTTTGGATGCATGACACCCTGTGGCGGGTGCTGCTGTTGAGGAGGCATCACTAGTCCCTGTAATGAGAAACAGAAAAACACATATATCACATTGGAAACAAAATATGTATCAATCATATTATATAACCAAACAACCAAATAACAGCATCCAAAACAGTTCTCCTCATGAAGCTAGTAGTTGCTCCACTCAAAAAAATTAACATATTTTATGAAACCTGAAAGTTCATTACTCAGGCACAAATAACAGGACCAACATTTTAAAATATTTAAAAATTATTTTACACACACAGCAAACTGCCTAATCTTACAAATCCTTTGATAATGAAGAACTCTCACCATGAAAAACTTCAACAGTTCAAACGTATTCTGAGTGAATAAAACATTAATAACCAGTAACTAAGATAGAATGTATATGAATTTTTGGAAGAGTCATGATGTATGAGGCTGTACTGGTGCTGTAAACTTCAAATATCTGTAAGCATGAACCTCATTAAAATAGTCATCACCATATAATGGAAAATGGATCTTAAAGACACATGTGGATGTGGACTGGATTCATTTAGGACAGGATAGGAACACTGATGGCCTCTAGTGAACATTGTCAATGAAGAATCTTCAGGTTCTATTAAGGATGATGAATTTCTTGGCCAGCTAAGTAGTTACTAGCTTCTCAACACAAACTCTCCTCCATGTATTTAGTTAATGTTACAGTCATAAAAACCAACAAAGCAAACAAACTTAACAAGTTTAATTTTTATGTAAAACGTACCTGTGTCTGAGTGGGTCTGAACACGGTAGGCTGCACCCCTTGTGAATTCATCATTGGAGTCTGCTGTTGTGGCATACCTGTTGCTCCACCAGGGCAGGGTGCCAAGGTACCCATGGGACTTCCATTGTTTTGATTCGGGCTAGATGACGGCATCGAAGAAATATTTCCTGTGGGGTGACCAATGGGTCCTGGTGTGGGGCTGATAGGTCGCTCCTTTAAACTATAACATGTACAGTTCAACTGTGTTAACTCACTCTCATTTTACTGAGCAGGTTCACACAGCAATAAAGTGTAAAGGACATCAAATCGAATGTGACAGCCTAACTCTGGAAGATTCCAAACGAAGCCTTCTGCCGGTGCTTCCAGCAATGGTAGGATCGATGGAGCAAGTGTGTGTACGCAAGGGTCCTACTTTGAAGGTGATTAGGTAAGCGTTGCCATATGTCCTACCATAACAGTGCTATACCACAATTCCGGGAACTTTTTGACTGCCCCTCGTATTTGATTGCTTTGTTACTCTTTGGTAGAAAATTATGAATTATGTAATTTTTTACAGGCCCCTCTCAATTCCCCCCTTTAAAGTGCAAATATACTGGGTTTCTTTCATTACTCTAAGTACACTGAAACAGGAGCAATTACAGCGACTTAAAAATTATAGAAGAATCCTGCATTTATTCTTAGCAATTTAAATAGTAGCCAGAGTCCAAATTGTAGGTGGGTACTTGCAGAGAAACTGCAACGAGCAGACCAGTAAACGTCCAAACACCAATGAGAGGATTATTAAGATATTACCTGTATCCTTTAAGTAGAACTAGGTGGCGAGGATCCTTCGCGTAGTTCTTTGTCTGTGACGTCTGCAAATCACCTCCAGCTTTCTCATACAACTTGAAAAGTGCCGGTATCTTACGAGGCGATAGGACCGATAAATGGATACCCCTCTGTTAAAACGCGATAAAATCATGTGTCACAAATGCTAAATAAAGATGCACGTTTCAGTATGAAACTGACTACGCTACACAGTTACTGCCATTCAATTGCGTCACCTCTTGTAGAAGAACTGCTAACTGCTCCACGGTGTGTCCGGCAAAGGTGGGAGACTCCATAACAGGCAAAAGATAAGGAGGAGAGTTGCAAACCAGTATACAGTGCTTCTGCGGTAATATGTTTGGCTCCCTCCTCTGTTGCAGATCTTCGAAGCACTGCAATGCTGTAGCAAGTCCTTCGGCAATATTGGCATGTGATTCTCCCTTGCCACCCACCAACCTAGATGAAGAAAGCGTCAGAGTATAATAAATTAGTATTTTCTCTTATTCTACAAAACTTCTCTTTTTATGCAGTTTTTACTCACTCAATCTTATCAAGGATGTTCAGCAACTTCTGTGGGTTAGAATAAGGCCCAAAGCAATCGCTACTGGGGTTAGGAAGACAGTCAGCTGCTTGATAAATGACCAGACCATACTGAGTACTTGTGCTCTGCAAGATAAAACAAGTAAACAGATCAGCTGCCTACCCTAAAATGTGACAACAAAAGTACAATTATAAAATATAACCTTAACTTCATGATACTCAGTTTGCTTTGAAAGTTTGTCGCGCAGAAAGACGGGAAATACCGTGCTCTCAAGAAACTGAAATTCACAAACGCCTGCCTCTTGACCCTATCCTAAGCCATTTAATCATTCCACTATTCACACTGTTTTCTTTACAATCCATTTCAATATGATCCACCACCCACACTCAAACCTCTTCATTTGAGATTTACAGACGTAAATTTTACATATTTTCTCGTTATCTCCATGTATCCTACATGTCCTACATTAAACTGGCGGTGGACGAATCTCAATCAAAATTTTGTCTAATGGCAAGCTTAAGTACCAATAATATTGAACCCTTAAGTTTAGTTACACATATTTTGACGTAAATACGTCTATACGAAAGGGTCATTCGGCAAAAAAGTGTAATGAAAAAGTGACAGGAAAATGTGTAATGAAAAAGTGTAAGATCCGTATCAACAAATCGACAACAATAGTTAGCTTGCATGCATTGTTATGTTACCTAGGAAACGTCATCTGTTTACTCGGCATTGTTGTGTTATATTACTGTCTACTATAAAAATTTCTGATTCCCCGTCGTCGTAGTCAAAAAATGACATCATCAACAATGTGAACAGATATTTGTTTACTCTGCATTATTGTGTTGGTATAACAACACAACAATGCCGAGTAAACATAATAAATAAACAACTACCAAGCCAGTCACATTATTACTGCTCCAGAAGCAGCACATTGCCTCCAAACAGTGACAAAACTATTTAAGAAAACGAAGAAAAGTGAAAGAAGACATTATCAAGTATTTGAAACGTTATCAACTATCTGACGTACCAACTCCAACAAGGTAAACTGATACTCATTCGATATATTACGATTACGAAAACTATTATGAAACCTGACTTTATGATAGATTTTAAGATGAAGATTTGCAAGGGTGGGGTAAGATTTTATAACGCAACCAACCCCACAGACCCGAAGGGGGTTTGGTCAGGTGTTTTAATCCAAATTTGGGGGGTAGTTTAGTTTCTTACTCAAGGTTTAAACTAAACTAACCCTCCTGAAGGGGGGGTTAGTTTAGTGTCTTACTCAAGAATTTAAAATGCAACCAATTGGTTGGTCAATTATTTTAAGCCTCCATTCAGGGGGCGCTCCGAAAGGAGCGTTCTGCTCTAGTGTAACAAAAATGTGTAATGAATATGTCATCTGTTTACTCAGCATTGTTGTTACCTAGGAAACGTTACATTACATTACTTTACGTTACATTACATTATATTACTTTACATTACATTCATCTACCACAGACCCATCTTCAGCGTAACTAATTCAAGTTAAATAAGCAATGTCTTAATCAAACTTTACGCAAGTGTAAAGCATGTATAAAGGAAATATTTAGAATAAAGCCAATATATAAACTTCCTTTCTGTATAGACGTATTTACGTCAAATTCTCTGGAACCGTGGTTCCACCGTCACTTTTTAGTTTCTCTTAAAGACTTTATATCATATAATATTTTTGCCACTTGAATTTTAAGTTTTCACAGTGGTGAAAATGAGGATTGTTATCCTTTGTGATAAGTATAGTGTTGTAAGAATACATTCCTGAAAATAAGATAAAATGTATCAAATATTAAATACAAGACATACCTCAGCTACATAATCTCGTTCTTCAATGGTCCCCTGACTAAAGTACCTGTAAATTAATAAGTACATGTTAATGTATTTAGTACTCTTGCTTTATAAACATAAAGTTCCAGGTTGTATGTTGGCCAAATGAACAATATTTCTGACACAGATTTTGTATTATTATTACTATCTTTATGAAAATGCTGTAATATCTCAAAACAAACCACAACAATTTCCTTTTAATTTATAATCTTCTTGACATATCTTATTTAATGCCATAAGCCCTCTTCTGCTGAAACAGAACTGTTAAATATTCTATAAAAGAGAATTATATAGAAATTTTGTGTTTGAGTTCTCAAAATACAAGACTAAATGTTGAACAAAGTAACAATACTCTTATCAACTGCCTTACAATTAACTAGAAAACACAGAAGAGCAAACAACTTGCAAACTTCTGGGAGTATTAGTAAGCAAACCCACCTTTAAAGTGGGCAGTTTCATTATAATTGAATCTCTAACAGTATAATAAAGACAAATCTCTTCTTGCAAATATATATAGCTTTTAATATATAAATAAATAAATATAAACATAAATCATGAAAAAATAATTTCGCTTCAGACATATAAAAGATAAAATTCATCCATCCTTCAACAAGTTCCCTGAGAGTCATAGAGTTACTGTTATACTTACTCCAGTGTTGGTACAACATAATGTGATTTGAGATCATTTAAATAAGCTCCATTAATTGCTGTTCCTTCAATGACAAAAATAATGTCTGCCTGGAGTCCATGGTCACCTGGTCCCACCACCATGACTCAAATTCACATAAAACCTGTTCAAATGTACAAAGCAAGTCTAAATTAAACCAACTTACAAACTACTATGTTATAAATTATTACTCAATTCAAACACCTATGTCTTCTACCTTCAGATGCTAATGTGTATCAGTAGCTTCTAAATTTTATGTGCAGGATGCCTTATTCAAGCAGAATTATGAGTCAAGAAAAATGCTTTTGAACTTGTCATAATGTTATGTCACAGCCATTAATTATAAACTGTAATCAATATAATGTACACATATCTTGTACTTGATCAATCACATACATCTGGTGAGCCAAAACCATCTCTGAGGTTAGATAACGTACAGCAGATTTGCCGTCCCTGAAGAACTTACGTTCAATTGATTTCGTCCAAAAGAATTGAGAACAAAAGTGGTTAGCAATCACCTTATACACTATAACAAAGGAACTTCCATCACTCACCTATTACACAATCCCAATTATTATACAAACACATCTGACACAGGCTTTTCTTTCTTCTTCACATTTTCTTATGTTTCAATCTAATACAATTGCACATTAATCGATGTAGAACCTTGTCTTGACCACATAGAACATTGACCAACATCAACACAGTGTTTTTCCCTGCACAGATACCAACATCAGTTGTACCTCTTCTGCCACCTATGTATCTCAATAATAAAACTTTTAAAGTTCTACGTCCGGTGTCAATAGCTCAGTCAATAATAGATGCGTCACGACCATTGGTCTTTATCGTCAAACGAAGATAAGATTTCGTATCTCAAGTTGTGGTCATTGTCTGCTATTCTTATTAAATTTGCAGAGACCTAAGGGAGATAATTTCGAAAGCAAAGTGCAGGAGATAAGTTACGTACAGATCGTGTGAAGTCATCGGTTCGTCTGCCAAGAATACAAAAAATCTCCTCTATCCATGGTTATAATATAGTTACTTTCGAGAGTCAGTTTCTACGTATGTATGTGATTTCTTGTCAGTAAAGCAACGGACAAAACAGGTCAACAAATCAAGATTACGAGAAATTGTAGCCACAACTTTGCAAACACCAATAATGTTGAAGGTAAAGCTCGAAAGTCTATTTATTCATAAACATGTATCAAAAACAAACACACATGCACGCAAACATTTAAACATATATAAAAGCACAAACGCACACTCACAACACGTGAGTGCGTGCACGCAAACATTTAAACAAAAGCTCACACTTAAAAATATTTGGAGCCTACGATATGATTCTTTTTTTACGATAAGCTTTCCCTTTCCTCTTTTTTTTTTATTATATACAATGAATACATTCCAATCTGCGCTTCATACGAAGTAGAATAGGCATGACATTACGAACAACAAAAAATCTCGACAAACGTCACTGTGTATAGACCATATTCAATACCAACTTTCATCGAGGTCTGTTTAGTAGTTTCGAAGTCCAAACATGCGGATCAACTAATATGACAACCACAATAAGGGTTAATTTTATATTTTGTTGAAAGAAAGTCATGAAATAATATATGGATTTTCAAATATCAGTGTGATGATGATGTGCAGAATGATAACTTCACTTGAATACATTCTACTGAATATACTGACCTAGAAAGGAACGTTATCAGCAAATCGTCTTCTGCACACAATATCCTCTCAAGTTTACTTATCTACTGTGTAATGCTGAAATCGATCGCTATAGATAAGCGATATACGGCAGATATACGTATTTCCTCCGAACTGCAATGACTTGAATGTTACATTTTCTCAGATGGTAATGAGTGTCTGCCTATGGCTGACCCGGGTTTTACACTGATTTAGGTTCCTTTTAATCACCATGTCTATAATGGTTTTGGATGCCGTAATATTTATCTTTAACTCTCCGTTTATTTTCTTCCTTCTTATCTTCTGCAAGTGGCCACTTGACATTAATCTTGCACTTCCGTAAGTGTTACATACAAGTATAAAAGTACTTGAATAAGAAAAATTATGCTACATAAATCTTGTTTAATTTTCAGAAGAAATGCAAACTAGGCCGTTACAGATTTGGATACATGTCAATACTGGTGATCTTGAGCACTGTAACTATGATTTACCAAATGAACAAGTTCGAACTAGTAACGTCACTGATCAGCCAGCTAAACTACAAAACTGAACTACAAGACATCCAGAGAAAGGAATTCTCCTCACATGCATTAAATCCTGTGAAGACAGCAGGCAGACAACTGAAAAATAAACCCAATATATTCAATGCCAACTTGACGCTGAGTCAGTGGGATTCTAGACATTTGTTCAAATTCTTGGATTCTGTTTTGTCAGGTGATAAATTTGTGGAACTCTCAAATAAGTACGATGTGTGCTTAGCTACTCAAGGCTCATTAGAGAAACTACATTCTCTCGTGTCGGTGACAGAAAACTGGAGTGGTCCGGTATCGGTTTCCGTTTTCACAGCAGGTGAAGAATTTATATTAACTGAACTGTACATAGCTTACATGAGGCAATGTTTTCCTCAGATACGAGATCGCATCAGCTTTCATTTAGCATATTCACCAGATTATCCACCGATTAAGGATCATCATAACCTTACATTTAATTATGAACAAAGTTGCAATAATCCTGAGGCTGTACTTTCAGATCTTTTGGAACATCGGAATCCAAAAACGGTAGAATTGATAAGTAATAAGCTGTTGTATCCACAAAACCATCTTCGAAATCACGCTCGAAGAAACTGTCAGACAAAATATGTTTACCTCACCGACATAGATATAATCCCGAGTACTGGAATGGCTGACAATTTACAAGAATTCCTAAGACAATCGCGGTGTGAGAAATTGTGTGCTTACGTCATACCAGTTTATGAAATCGACAAGAACGTCAGCTTCCCGCAGAACAAATATCAAATTACAAACTTCGCAAAGGAAGGCCTGGCAAGACCATTTCATCAGATGATATATGTCAACGGTCATTATTCAACAAATTACAAAATGTGAGTGAGTTAATAACACGCAGTTACTCAACGTTACTTTACAATGTAAAAATTCTTGTGCTCATCGCAGACAAGCAGAGTGTTCTATTAAACGATAACTCAATGTACCTTGATGCCAAAAACCAAAGTAGTTCTGATTTCACATCTGTAAGGTTGTGAGAGAAATCAGATTTCAAAGAGAACATGGGTTGTAGCGCCGTCTAATGTCGTAAACGTTTATCGAAGTTTCAGAGGTCCTTGCTGCCTCCATCATTACTCATCGCCCTGATGATGGAGGCAGCAGGGATCTCTTCTACCAGAATACAGGATACTACAACCCAAAAGACAACCACCTTCGTACTCACTGCCATGAGAACCTCAAATCCCACTTAGTTTATAATATTTATATTTAAGAACAGTTAAGAGCATACTGCTTACCTACAAAAGGGCATTACGTATATTAAGCACTACTATATTTGAACATTTTAATAAATTCGATATTTTTACTGAACTCAGAGATAAATCACTGCTAGTGAGGAAACGGCCGAATTCTTGGCCTTTCCATTCACCCGAACACTTTCGATTACGTCCCACTATACGCCATGTAGGCGCTTGGGGGGAATGGCTGAGCTACCTCGTTTATCATTACATTATAAAATGTATTTACCAAGTGACGTCGCTACAGCTGCATTTACCCAAAATAAATTGGAGCACACATGGCAACGACTGGGTGATAGGTTTGATGTGCAGAGACCTGTAAATCGATCTCATATGGAAACAATACCCACAAAAGAATATTTATACTGCCACGTGTAAGTTACAATTCGCATCGTTGTGAACTTCACAAATCTGCTCCTCTCTACACACGTCATCTTATAAGAATAGTTTTTCACAGGCACATAAATATCATCCTAAGGCTTGGGATGAAACTAAGAAATATATTTTGGACAAAACTATACTTAATTTCCATTTACGCCCTCACAATCACTTCAGGGCATAGGGAATCTTCCTAACTAGCTTTAGTTCCTGGCATTTCTTTTGCAGTCGATACTTTCTTTACTTTTGGTGCATAATGAAAGGTGTGCTTACAACAACACAATAATAATTGAATTCTTTATTATTAGTGTGTTGTATCAAAAGTCAGGCCAATTACAGATACAGCATAAGAGATGAGCACACAAACACAGTAATAAACATAGAAGGTAATAACAAACATAATATAAAATACATTAGTACAGAGGATGATAATACAAAAAAAATGCTACTAAATACATTAGTATATTTGTAATAATAATCCTCATCGATATATATATAATGTGGTAAGTTATAATCCATATTTTAACAAATTAGTGGATTTAAGAACACGATGTTGATAAAATTATTTATGTATGTTCGTTTACAGGTGGGAGGATAATACACGAGACGTACAAGATGCGGTCCATGTGAACCACAATGTGACTAAATGCGCAGGGTGGTATGAACCATTTTATGTGGCACATGCTGCTACGCCTGATTTTGACGAACGTTTTATTGGCTACGGTTTCACTCGCAACACTCAGGTAGGCCTGTTGTAACATGGTGTCAGAAAATCATGAGGCAACGTGAATGCCAAATTTCGCGAAAATCTGTTAAAAGATTCAAAAGTTGAAAGATATATTG